TTAAATAGAGCTAATAGGGCATTCATAAGTACATTCTTCAATTATATATATAATAAACACATCGACTTCAATTTGCAATACTAGTTCTTATTATCCATATTTAAAACCAGTATCAGACAATTCAGTTAATTTATTACAAACCAGTTTCTAAAATATTTAAATAGAGCTAATAGGACATTCATAACTACATGCCACTAAACCGAGTCAAAATTTCATCATAGGATGTCTTACTGATATTGTAGTATATTCATTGATGCTTGGATGTTGCTCTGTACTCTCTACTTCTAATCCTGACTTTTACCAACATGTGAAAATAAATCACACGCTAAGTATTCACTTAGTGAGGCATAATAATAATGAAGTGAAATCAAAACATAAGTATATCATAACTATCAAAATACAAATTTACTCGTGTAAATAATAATAATACATAAAGTTGGATTGGTAAACCAAGTTTCTTTCACATAACCTACGGAACCATATTTAGTATGCCCATCATACTTTTCAATCAGTATTTATCTAAATTATTCTTTTATTTGCCCAATATATGTTGAATGAGAATGCATGGTACATGAATTGGCACCTAAGTATCCATATGGAAATTCACAAACTCATTTTTAAATCCTTGGGGTGAAAATATAGTGCTGATACGGTCATTCACAAATTCATTGTGAATTACGTAGGTTGCACACATAGTGCCAATATGGAAATTCATAAACTCATTATGAATTTCGTGAGGTTGCACACATAGCGCCAATACGGAAATTCATAAACTCATTATGAATTTTTTTGGGGTTGCACACATAGTGCCAATATGGAAATTCATAAACTCATTATGAATTTTGTGGGGTTACACACATAGCGCCAATACGAAAATTCATAAACTCATTATTTATTTCGTGGGGTTGCACACATAATGCCAATACAAAAATTCGGGGTTGCATACATAGTTCCAATACAAAAAATCATAAACTCATTATGAATTTCGTGAGGTTGCACACATAGTTCTAATACGGAAATAATTCATAAACTCATTATGAATTTTGTGGGGTTGCAGACATAGTGCCAATATGGAAATTCATAAACTCATTATGAATTTTGTGGGGTTGCACACATAGTGCCAATATGAAAATTTATAAACTCATTATGAATTTCATGGGGGACACATAGTGCTAATACGGAAATTCATAAACTCATTATGAATTTCGTGGGGTTGCACACATAGTGTCAATACGAAAATTCATAAACTCATTCTGAATTTCGTGGGGTTGCACACATAGTGGCAATACGGAAATTCATAAACTTATTATGAATTTCGTGGGGTTGCACACATATACATTAAACAAAAAGCATTTGTGACTATCATAACATATAAGTACATAATAAATGCACTCACCTAGTATGCTTCACTATTAAGCCTTATTGATGTCCGACTATTTGACAACTTTATCTTTGCCTTTCTGTTTGCTTGACTTATGAGATTGATTACGATCTACACAAGCATCCATAATCACACATGCAATACAAATGTTAGTAGACTTTCTAACATTTATACAAAATAATAATACTTAAAAGTACTATTATTCTCGAATTCTATTAAAGTTCATCCTTATTTAAAATTCCAGGCTGATTAGTATCGGTACCCCTTCTATGGAATCGATACTTATATATTATGGTACCGATACTCCCTTCAGTATCGATATCATATTTGCATTTTGGAATCTATTTCTCAATAATAGTATCGATACCTTCCTCTTGGTATCGATAGCCCACTTTAGTACCTATACTACTTGCATAAGTATCGATAATGTTCATCGTGTTTATCCTCTTTCCTCAAATTTAATCCTATAGTATCGGTACTGTTCTTCTAGTACCGATACCTTTACCCAGATTTTACATATTTCACTTCGATTTTTACCACATTTTCACCTAATCTCTTACTTTTATCCCCAAACATACCATTAAACTCATCATATTACTTAAACAAACTAACTTAAATCCATAAATCTTCTTATAACATCTAAAATCTCCAAAGAACACTCAAAACTAAGAATCACACTAATTTTTCAAACATGTTTTTAATCACTTCTAAGGCTCCAATTCTCTTATTTACTTCTTCAACAAGTCAAATATGTCTTTAAACTCCAATAACTGACTTTATTTCATCAAATAACTTAAAAAATCATTTTTATTAAATCTCCAATAAATCACTAATCTCTTGGTTTTATTCACTCTTAAGCTTTCCTTAAGCTTCTATATCACTTAAGGGTTCAAAACCAACCCATAAACGAAAGGAAAACCCAACTTGAAGGAATCTTACCTTTGGCTATGGAGGGCACGAGGATGAAGGGAAGAAGAAGAAGAAGAGAACCAAGTTATTTTCAGCTTTCTTTCCCTTTTTCTACTATTCAACCCTTAATAAATATCCCAAATAAAATGAATAATAAAATCATTTCCTTCTAAAAGACCATAATGCGCCTCCATTCTTCCATTCTTACTAATAAGTCTTAAACAAAATCTCTAAATTAAATCCTTTTACTTTTCAATTTATTCAAATTAACCCACTAAATTTGTAAATCCTTTCACTATGGTCACTGACCCGATGTTTGGGGTATTACAAAGAGTTTTCAAAATTCATTCGAAAACATTTTTTTATTAAGTATTGTGGTATTATATTTTCAAAACAAATGTCAGAGTTCTAACTCACACAAGGTAGAATAACATGAACATCTTTAACAACACGAACATCAATGGATCTCAAAATTCATTAAAAGAACTTAATAATCCATAACTAGACTTTGGATAAATAGCATTTTAAAAATAAGAGATTGGAAATTCAATTTATTAAAATCAAAATGGTCAATAACATTCTAATCTTAGTCAACGTTCAATTAAGTCAAATTTAATTATTTTATCATTTCTATATTTTTAAACTTTTACTTTTTTATTAATTTTCAAATGTTGACATCATTCATAATACACGTAATTAAGACTTAACAACTTTAAATAAATACCAAAATAATTAAGGAAATGAAAAAGCGTATAACAAATTGTGACAAGAATATGAAGGCAGGAGAAAATGGCAAGATCAAAAATTAAGAAGAGAATTAAGTCACACCAACGAAATTAGTTTAAGTTGTAAACAATTTGATATCACTTAAATAAGTATCGAGTTTGAAGTATTGTAAATGTAGAAAATCATTGTTAGGAAACTTACTCATGAAACATAAATGTATGACGTGAGTATTTCAAATTAATCGGGATGAAATTTTGAAACCGGTGAAAAAAAATTAAGCCACTTTCAAGTGAAAGCCAAGCAATGCACATGATTCATTTCTGTACAAATTCAATCGACATATACCCATCATTCTCAAAATTTAAGAAAAAGGAAACGACCGCAGATAACATAATTATCACTAACGTTTTGTTCATTTCTAATTTTTGTTAAATATTTATATGTGATATAAATATAAGTGGTGACATATAATCTTTTATTTTTTTTAAAGAAATAAAAAAAATAAAAAAAATTAACATACATGCATGTATGTGACATATTTATATTTACTGTAAAGTTTATAAATACACTAAATTATTCTAAAATAATTCTTTTGAGATTTAAATTATAAAATAAATATTTTTATTATATAATGAACATCGTACCGTTAATTTTTGTTTATTGATGGTAAGAAAATGATATAATAGAATAAATTAGACGAGCAATCTCATTTGACCCTTTAACTATAACTAAAATTTTATTTTGATATTTTTTTAATATTTTAAGAAAATATAAGTATTCATAATTTTTTTTTTAAAATTATATTTTTGATTTCTTTTAAAAATCAAAATACTAAAATAAATGACATTTTAATTTGTTTACAGTGTAGATATGAGTTAGAGGCGATTCGAGTGGTCTCGTAAGATAGGTTTCTTTTATAGTCCATGGTAATTACAATATAGTATATGTTCATAATTTTTTAATCATTTATAACGTACACACATCATACAAACACAAGAACAACTCTCTTTTTAACCACTTATGCCAATTGATGTGTTCTCGTAAAATAGACTTCTATCATTAAAAGATATTGGCTGATTAAATGACTTATAAGATATAATTTACAAGTTTAAAAAAGAGTGAAAGTATATATAATGAAAAATATGGAAGATTTTATTAAAATTTCGTGATTTATAATTTTTTATAAAATTATAATTTTTTTTAAAAAATTATATTTTATATTTAAAAAGAAATAATGAAAAACTATATATATATAGTTTTAATTTTAAACTAGACGGGTGACGTGTGTAGCCATCTTGGTTCAATAATCGTGATTCTTATGTATGGAAGTGGATACCTTTCTTTTTCTTTTGTTGGATTCTTTTCTTTCATTCAAATAATAGAATTTATTTGGGCAAACTACAAATTTAGTATTTAAACTATTAGTTTTTATCTATTTTAGTATGTAAACTTTTATTTTTTTAAATCATACCTAACGTTGACTTTTTATTTCATTTTAGTACCCATGTTAAAAACTTAACGTTAAATTTTGAAAAATAAATTTCAAAGTTTAGGTACTAAAATGGACCAAAACTGATAGTTTAGGTGCTAAACACGTTAAGTTTTTAACAATGGTGTACTAAAATGAAACAAAAACAAAATGTTATGTATGATTTTGAAAATTTTGAAAGTTCAAGTACTAAAACAGAATAAAATTGATAGTTTAGATACTAAACGTATAGTTTACCCTTTTTTTTAATAAATCTGGATGAATAAAAAATAATATATGTTCAAAGATTCTTAATTATTTTGACAATGAGTGTTCGTACTTTGTATATAAGGTACCCGAACCTGAAATCTCAAATGATAATAACAAATCGCTTAATCTTTAAGGTCGCCTGATTCATACATAAAAGAACTTAAATTGCCATAAATATTAAATAATATATATATATAGACCTCTCCTATTAAATTTCGTGATTTTATATACATGGTACAGCCTTCTCTATTTTCTCTTCTTCTCTGCCTGCATTTAGACCTCTTCATGTTTCGAGTATGGGAAAACCTCAAGAACTGCAACTCCACGTCACTGGTAAGTGGGCTCCTATATTTTACTCAAAACTCGAAAATAGCATAATACTCTGTATGTTTATATTTAATATTTTTTAGAATATAGGAGAATATATTAAAGGCTCTACGATATAAATAAAATGTAAATTCTTGATAAAAATAGGGTAAATTACGCGTTTAGTACTTAAACTATCAATTTTGATCCGTTTTAGTAAATAAACTTTCAAAATTTTCAAAATCATAGTTAACATTTAATTTTTGTTTCATTTGAGTACACGTCGTTTAAAACTTAACGCGTTTAGTACCTAAACTATCAGTTTTTGTCCATTTTAGTACTTAAACTTTATTTTTTTTCAAGACTTAAGTATGATTTAGGTACTAAACGTGACCTAAACTTTCATTTTTTTTCAACACTTAAGTTTTGATACTAAAAATGAAACAAAAACTAAACTTTAGGTATACTTTTGAAAAAAATAAAAGTTTAAATACTAAAAGAGATCAAAACTGGTAGTTTAGATACTAAATGTGTAATTTACCCTTAAAAGAAAGAAAATGTTCCATCAATAGAAAAAGAAAATGGTTCAGAAGCATACATGATTTCTTCATGAAAGATGAAAAATTTGAAACTAAAACGAGTTTTGAAAGAAAATGATTTCTATCATGAATCTCTCTCGTAAATAGGTCATAAGAGAAGGAAAAAGTTGTCTTCAAGAATAATGTTGGTGAGATCGTTGTTGAAAGTTGTCGGTTAAATTTTTTTCAAAGTTCAAAGCATTTATTATTCATATGTTTTAGACTTGTTATTTTTCCGTTAAAAATTTAGTACCTAAACTTTTAATTTCTCTAATTTAGATCGTTGTGCTTTTGAGCTATTTTTTTCTATTGATGGACACTTTTCTTTCTTTTAAGGATAAATTACGCATTTAGTACTTAAATTATCAATTTTGTTCCATTTCAGTACCTAAACTTTTAATCTTTTTAAAATCATACCTAAAGTTTAGTTTCTGTTTCATTTTTCGTACCAAAACTTAAGTGTTGTAAAATGAAAGTTTAGATACCAAAACACGTTTAGTACCTAAACTATACTTAAATTTTGATTTTTTTTTGAAGTTTAGGTACTAAAACAAACAAAAACTGATAGTTTAGGTACTAAACGCGATAAATTTTTAACGACATGACACTAAAATGAAACAAAAACTAAACGTTAGGTATGATTTTAAAGAATTTAAAAGTTTAGGTACTAAAACGGACCAAAACTGAAAGTTTAAGTACTAAACATGTAATTTACCCTTCTTTTAAAGATTTGTTGTTTACAAATTGATATGTATTTATTTATTTATCTATTCATTTATTTTATGATATATTAACTTATCGACGTAAATAAATATATGTTCTTAATCATTTTAGATAAGTATTTAACATATTAAACATAAAAATTCGAGAGAAAAAAAAATTACACACGTGTAAATTAGTTAATAACATTTTTATCATGAATATTAATGATTCAATTATAGTAATATTTTAATATAATAATATTATGTTTTTATAATAAATAATATTATTTGTTATATTTAATATTTATAATGAATAATTTTTATTTTTTTCATACACGCATCTAAAAATTGTTCTCCATAATAAAATTTTATTTTCAAAAAACTATTTTTAGTATAACAAATATGACATTATTTGATCAACAATCGGTTGTTCTAGTGGGACGAGACATTGATTCTTTAAGGAATGTCAGGGATTCAAACACTAGTGTTTGCAAACGGTGCATATTAGGTTGCGAGAGTAGTCCCCATAGTAGACCTCTACAAAACTTTATCTGAATTGGTTGGCCAATAAATTAGATATCGATGATTAATTTAAAAAAAATACATCATCTGAATATTGTTGTAAATTTATTTGTTCCATTTATTCTTGTAAAATATCATATATCCGATCTTCCTATTAAAAAGGTATAATGCCAAAAATAACCCCTACTATTTACCAAAATGGCCATATATCTAAAACATTGGGGCAAAAAGATCCTTGTATAGATGAAAACTATTAGTTAACAAACGATTAATGCTCCAAAATATGAGCATTTTTAAACCTAAAATGAAACGTTGAGGGTTAAAATGCCAAAAAAAAAGAATAAGGGACAATGTGATTATTTTGTCAATTGTCAGGGGCTTTCTTTAGCCTAAAATAAAACGTTATGATAAAAATGCTCCAAAAAAATAATATGGGGCAAAATGACTATTTTGGTAAATGTTGGGAGCTAATTTTGGCATTATTCCAAATAAAATGAATGAAAGAGTAAAACAACAAATTTTAATTTGTAGAGTACAACAGAAAAAGAACTCATTCGAGAATTATGCCAATGTTTTTTTTCTAACAGTTGAAGAAGTTAAGGAAGAAAACTCAGCTGAGTATCAGAACAGCAAGAAACTTGTAAGCCATGAACCCAGGAGCTATAAACGGTGGATCATCATCAGCATGTACGCATTCTTCGTAATCTGCGGTCAATCAGCATCCACACTCTTGGGGCGCCTGTACTACGACAAAGGAGGTAAGAGCATTTGGCTTGCCATGGTCTCTCAACTCGCCGGCTTCCCCATCCTTGTGCCATGTTATTGCCTTACTGCACCACCGAAAACCAAAGATGGGCAAATACAGCAGCCGCTGTCGCCGTCGGCGGCGATACTGGTGTTGGTTTATTTCTCTTTCGGTATTTGTCTGGCGGCATACACCTTGATGTATGCCATTGGACTCTTACACCTTCAAGTATCTACTTTTTCACTCGTTTGTGCATCACAATTGGCCTTCAATGCTCTCTTCTCCTTCTTCCTACATTCACAAAAGTTCACTCCTTTTATACTCAATTCACTAGTTCTACTAACCATATCCTCCACCCTCCTGATATCTCAAACCAATCCGCCCACCCGCCACGGTGGGGTCTTGAAAGGAAAATACATGGTCGGATTCCTATGCACCATCGGTGCGTCCGCCGTGTATGGATTGATGCTTTCTCTAACACAGCTATCCTTCAAGAAGATCCTAAAAGGAGCACATGTGTTGGAAATTGTTATGTATCAGTCACTGGTTGCCACTTTCGTTTCCGTTGTGGGACTTTTCACCAGCGGAGAATGGAGAGGTTTGTTGATGGAGATGGCGGAGTTTGAACTCGGTAAGTTTTCGTACGTGATGACCCTGATCGAGACGGCTATAGCTTCGCAGTTTTTTATTGTGGGCACAACAGGATTGATTTTGGAAGTGTCTTCGCTCTTCTCCAATGCCATAAGTGTGTTGGGTTTGCCAGTTATTCCAATTCTAGCTGTGTTGTTTTTCCAAGACAAAATGGATGCAGTGAAGGTGATTGCCATGGTATTGGCAATATGGGGCTTTGTTTCATATGTCTACCAGTGTTATCTTGATAATAATGATTCTAAGAGTCAATATCTATGTGGAAGTGAAGTTTCCAAGAGTCCTTTACTTGAAGAGACAAGTTAACAGAAAAGTGGTGCGATCCATTCTCGGAAATTCTAAATTCTTGTATAATTTAAATATTTTTAATATTTTATATTAATAATTTAAAATTGCATCTCTTAAAATTGTATATTTAGCCTTTAAAATTTTAATGTATATTTCTAAGTTCTCAGTCTCTAACATAAAATTCTGTGGCCAGCGCTATATGAAATTGTCGCTTTTTACTCATGTAATGATCCTAAAAATGTGTAAAACTTTTAAAGTTTTACACTAGGTAAGTGGATCACGATTATATTTAAATTGAAACAAATTAGTATTGAAGACACTTAAATTCGTCCATCATAATACATACATATATATATATATATATATAATATCATATAATGTTATAAATTATAATATATATATATATATATATATATATATATATATATTTTGAATTTCTTTTATAGGCCCAACAGTAATGGCCCAAATCCCACGTGACCCAAGTGACCCAGCTGCCCAAACCAGTATGGATTAGGGTTTGTGTAAACCCTAATCTCTCAACCTCTCATCCAGCCGCCAAGCATCTTGACCATTGGATCAAGTTGTGATCCAATGGTCCACAGCAACCCTAATTGCTTCAGCAACATCCCAGCGCCGCAAGCCCTCACGCAGCACGCCTATCTCCTCACGCCACACGCAGCCGGGAATCTCGGCAACCGCCAACAACACACAAAGATCTCGCATGCATAACCAACAAACAACCAAGTTAGAATTTTAATAGGACTCAAACACTGATATTAGGCTATAAATATGTTTATAGTCCAACTCATTGTACACGGTTTAGAGAGATTACGAGAGGCAAAAATCACACAAATACACGCAAGACACAGAGAGAGATTACGAGAGTCACACAAAACTCAGAAGCATTTGTAATAGCATTGGAAGCTTTTTTTCGAAGTGAAAATAAAAGAAAGGTATATTTTTGCTTACCTTTTCGTTCGTGTGGTCCCTTGCATGCCCGTTTTATCTCCTTTTGTTGCGTTTTTGTTCGAAAGAAAACAAAGAGAAAAGATTTTGGCCAATGAGCGGGGCGTTTTCGAGATCTATTGTTTTAGATCTAGCCCCGAGGCGTTTGTTTCTCAAACAAAGTTTTGATTTTTTTAAAAAGAGGGTGAAGAGAACTTTCGAGATTTTTGAAGAAAATAAAAAAATAAATTTTTTTCCGCAAATGAACGGCGGTCGCGGCGAGGCGGCGCTAAGGTGGCCGGAATCTGGGTTCATGTGAGAACCCGGCCGTGTTCTTATTTTTGAAGAACACTTGAGAGAAATCAAAGAAGGGGGGGCAGCTCTCGTTTTAGTGAGAAGAGAAGAATGAAAGTTTTTAAAATTTGTTTAACATATATACTACACCCGCGGATGCTTGCCGACCCAACCCATACATAAAAGCGACCCGCGTGTTTTTTAAAACGGGTAAACCGTGCATTTGATGCCTCTAGTTTTATAAAGTTCTGATTTGCCCCCTTAAGTTCCAATTGTACTTCGAATTCCTATTAAATTTGGCCTTAATTTCATTCTATTTCCAATTTAGACCCCATATATATATAATTGTTACGTTTAAATCCTTATATTATTATTGTATATTATTTTGTATTATTTTGTATTATTTATGTTGATATACGCTTATTCTTTTATATTTTATTGGTACAACATTATTAATATATATATATATATATATTCCTAATTATGCTCATGATCACTTCTTATTTCTAATACTATATCATATAATCGTATATATATATTTCTATTCATTTTTGGTTCTTTACTATTATATTTTATTATTTTGTTTTTTTTTGTTTTTTTGTTTTTACCTTTATATATACATTATATTTTTTTACTTTCATATAATTATTTTTGTCTTTACTATTATTATACTTGCCTATATTTGATTTATTTCATTTTTTTCTCTTGCTTTCATTTTATTTTTATTTATTTTTTTATTTTTTACTTTGTTCATTTATTCCATCTAATACGTTTCTCGATTTTTTAAGGATGATTTCAAACTGATCTAAGGTAAGCAATTTCAATCGTCATTTTACCTTTTAAGTTAAACTTACAATTTCCTTACTTAATGACAACTGGAAATTACATAGTACCGAAAGGGCAGTTCAAGGGTACTAACCCTTCTTTGACCGTAACCGACTCCTGGATCCGACATATCACTGGTAAGACACAGACCAGGTAAGAAATAAGGTATCCGATCAGCTCATTTTATTTAAAATAAATGATCGGTGGCGACTCCTAACCCATTTTTCCTAAGTCGAAGCCCAATTCCGGGAACACCCGAAAGACGGTTCCAACAGCTTGGCGACTCCACTGGGGATACAGGTAAGTGAGTCATGCTAAGGTAATTTCCAGTTGTCATTTTAACGAAAAAGGTAAGTTTAAATTTTAAGGTAACATTTTGATCCTTATTGCTTACTTTTGATTATATGTTTCAAATAAATAGTTGTACTAACCGTTTTTTTAATGATTTCAGCATTCCAAACTCGTTTTTTCCTCTAAGGCTCTATACCCGAGCTCTAAACCCTAATTTAAGTGGGGGTAAAAGGGATGCCTTCGTGTGAATTTATTCACTGTGCGGGCCTAGCAAGTAGCCTTCGAGATTCATATACCTTATGTCTTCGTGTGAATTTATTCACAGTGCGGGCATAAGGGAATGTATCCTCTCGAGTTTAACTTAGTCCACACAAGCCTGTGATGGGTTTAGGACTAAGGGTCTGGTAAGCCCATGGGGCACCAGCAAGGAGAACTCGGGTACCGTTTTTAGAACCTAAACTGGGAGACCATGGAGAATTAGAGCCTACTCCAAAACTACATTCCAAAACCTAAGATATTTTTACCCTAGCCATTTTCTTTTTTGTGTTTTTTTCTTTCGTCATTTTATTTATTTATTACTAATCCTTTTGCCTTTGTGTTTGTTTTCTAGAATTTGCATCATAACAAGAGGCTATTGATCCTTAAAAAGCGTTTGTTAAACACAAAATAAATCTGAATTAATGGACAAAGGTGTTGTAATACAAGAAATTGAAAACGCTGAGGCACGACTATGGTCCGAGAAGACTTAGAAAGAGAAGACTCACAAAATTATATGTCAGAGCTGGTTAGTTACTCCTCTGTCATCCTGAAACAGAACGATGTCCAAGAATTGTGAAACATTTGGGACAGTTGGGGGAATGACAGAAAGCAGAAGTTCAGCCAACGATATGGTGATATTGCCCTCTTACTCCATGTCAAGACTGATGAGCCTCTGCTCCGAGCATTAATTCAATTCTGGAACCCAGGATATAGTTGTTTCACCTTTAACTGGGAGGACATGGTGCATTCTATCAAAGAGTATACTACCCTACTGCACTGCGAAAACATTAGACTAGAGAGGGCATATATCAAACACATCAAGAGTCAGCCTTTCAAGAATGGACTAGCTAAGATTGCAGGGGTTGATAAAAAATGGGTGACTGATCCACTTCGACACAAAGGTAACGGGGAAGGAATCGAGTGAATTCACATAAGGCAACTAATGAAGAACCACCCTGATGAATGGAAGACTATAGACCTTTTTGTACTAGGTCTGTACGGTCTGGTTATCTTTCCGAAGACTTTGGGCTGCATCGACGTAGCCGTGGTAGAGCTATTCGAACAACTTCCAAGGCGAGTCAACCCAGCACCGACCGAAACCTTTCGATCTCTCAACCATTGCAGAAGAACTGGCGGAGGAAGATTCGTTGGGTGTACTCAGCTCCTTCAAGTCTGGATTCACAGCCACTTTTGAAAGAATAATGGGGTAGCCTATCACCGATTCAGCACTACCTATTCACCTTTGGCAGAATTCATCACTAGGAAATGACATGAAGATGCTTCAAAAGAAAAGTGGATGAAAGTCTTTACACATCTTCAGGATCGAGAAATTACCTGGAGAGCCCCTTGGTTGTTCCTCGGTGATGTTCTTTTTTGGTGTGGGGATTCTGACACTATGACATTACTTGGACTCTGGGGTGCAGTCGGGTATGCTCCGTTGTTAGCACTTAGACAGTATAGGGCACGTCAGTTTGTCTCGGTAACATACGGGCTAGCTAGATCAGAGTTTGTGTATAGTAGTGATAGTTATAAGAAGAGGATCAAGGAAGCAGCTGATTCGTGGAAGAAAGTATTCCGGATGGATGTTGTAGCTACCAGAGACATGCTTACTCCGGATTATGTGGAGTGGCGAAGGCTGAGAAAGAATGATAGCATCCCAGTGCCAGACTGTGAAGACACCCAGACCATGGAGGAACATCTCAGGCCTGTCCCTTCAGAATTTGAGATAGCTAAGGCAGAGTTTGAAGCTGTGAATAACGAGCTGAAGCAGAGGATTAAGGAACTTGAAGCTGAAGGTTATCAATGGAAGCTAGATGCCGACTCTCAGAAAGATAGAGCAGACAAACTGGAAAGAGAACATAAAAAAGTCCATTTTGAGCTCGAAGATTTGAGAAAGGGGTATCAAGATAAAGTCAAAGATAACTCCAAGTTGAAAATAACCTCTGAATACTGGAAAGACGAAGCTCACAATCTGAAAAGGAAGTTCGAGGGGCCTGATGAAAGTGCTTGGAAGGAACAACTGAAGACTGCTCAATGGCGCTTGGCAGACAATCAACATCAGAACCAACACTTGAGAATTCGAGTGGCTGACTTAGAGAAACAACATGAAAAGGATGGCAAGACAATAGCTGAATTAGAAGCTATTGTAGATGGGTTCAAGAGGCAAGCGAACGAGCTTCAGATAGTGACTTTTGATGGAGGATTACAATGACGTTTCCGTTGGGAGCAAGCACAAAAAAGGGTGAGGGCCAGAGACGTAACCGTTCGAGATTTTATTGAACAAGTACTGAAGGCGGCTTGTCATCTTCACGGCCTAGCAAGGGAAGCAGGAGTAGTTCGACAAGGCATTCAACCAGTGACAGATGAAGGCAGAAGACTTGTCAACCTACTAGAAGCTGTTAGAG